TGAAGTAGCACGTCACAGAATAGATTAAATAGCACCAAATTATGGGGATTCATATTCAAAAATTCAAAATTTTTTTTTTCATGCGAACTCGAACTTGTTCCAACTGAAAAACGTCTTCAGCATCCAATTTGTTTGCTAACTATTGCTTTTTTAGTATTTTTTCAAAGTGCTCATCATATAGTACGATACTTTTAGAAAAAATGTTCATAATTTTATTGTTCAATTAATCAATTGTTTATGAAATATTCAATGATATTTTTTGTAAAAATGTACTAGATACTAGATAGGTACATTGATATCGTAAAATAAATCATAGGTACCAGATTACTAAAGAACATGAAAACAATAGAAGCGTTTTAATTTCAAAAGGCATAGCCTTTAACTTCAGCATGGCTTCGAACAGTTCGAACTCCCGTCGTCTCAACAATGAGTAGGTGGACAGTGTCGTCTGTTATAAGTGTTATAACCTTATAACTTATAAATACTAACGCATCATAATTTTCACCAACTTGAAATTTCATAGCTCTAATAGCATCCACTCAATACTATAGATCCCTATAACTATTAACAGTTTAAAAATATAGATATGATGTTTATCAAAGATTTTTCAATCTATATATGTATATATAGGGCTCGGATGCATTTATTTATGAATATACTGTAATACTGTATGGCGTATGCTAAGTAAGCACAAAAATACAAAATGTGTTTAGGGAGATTATGAAAGTGTGATTAGAATAGATACCAATTCTGTTAGACCATATTTTAACATTTTATAGTTTTTACTTTTTATATCATATATTAAATACAATATTTAGGTCATATTATTTAATATTTAGAAAACAATTTATTACACTATTTGTATCTTAAATAAATACTTTATGAGCAATTTTTAGGAAATAAAAATTAAGGTTATTAATTTAGTAGAATAATAATAAATAAACATTGCTATTTGCTGTAACTTGTTTAAACTAATTTAAATCAGTCTCAGTTATAGATTGAAATACTATAGCCTATGCCCTATAGGTAGACAGACGACTAAACAAATTCCATGTATGCTCGTAAGTCGTATGTCATAGCCCATAGGCATCTTAAAAGCATAATATACCGTGTGTTCCATTTTAAAGGTAACAGTAAATATTTCGATCGCGTGACCTTGAATTTGATTCGGGGTTTTTATACTGCAAATAGTACTTATAAATACATCTATTTTTGATAAATTCTAATTTTTAATTATTTTAATCAGCGCATGTGTAGTAAAATAAAAATTTCTTAAATAGGAACCACTATTTTGAGGACCGGATTTCAATTGCTTTATTTTTTCTGAACAGCTTTGATCTTTACAGTTTGTTGATATCTTCAAAATTGCCATTTTTATGACGGTCGAAAGTTTAAAAATCAGTTAATTCATAAATATCGCATTTTTCAACGCTCTATCTTATAATTACACATTTATAGGTATTATTATAACAATTTATTTTTATTAAAACTACAATGTGTATTTATTATTACATMGAATTTATAAAAAAATATCATTATAATTTATTCGTTGAAAAATGCGATACGTAGTTTTCATCCGTGTATCTTATATGGGGGCTGCTAAATAGCGCAGACAATTTGTACTTTATCCGGAAAAGAACACAGACATTGCTACAAATCATCACTTGCACAGTTGCACTGCAGCTTGCTTTCACACTAGCACTCCAGAAGACATCCAAAAAGACACAACCCACGGAATCTGGGTCAAAACAATATAAATCCATATAATATAAAGTACATATAATACAATATAAAGCGACCGTGAAACAGTCAACCATATGATCATCAGATATCATATTAGACATTATTTTATTCTACTTTATATCACTTAGGTAGTGTAAATATGTATATAATTTATTGTATTGTTTATTTTAGGTTATTGATTTATTGATTTTATGTTATGATTACTATTTATAGTATTGTTAATATTACTGTTATACAATGCGTCCAACACGAATAATAATWAAAAAAACTCAGTAATATTATTTTTTGTAACTAAGCATTTTTAACCAATCTACATTATAGCGGTTTTTTTCTGTAACACTAAAATATAGGTCCCTCAAATAGTAAAATATTTTTAAAAAGTTGTTACATCTATAACATTTTAATAATTGTTAATTAATTAATCAATTTAATAAGCTTCGTAAAACCTTGATTATATATACATAAAAAGAAATTATACATAATACATGTAATGYAATTGTAAACATACTCGTAAATACTCAAGTATATTGATATTAGGTTTCAATGTATTAGTWATCAATTATTATTGAACTCCAAGTTGATGAAGTAAAATTGGAACATAATCATCATATTGTGCAAGATAGAAATTACCAGCAACAGGTGTTCCTAATTTGTACTTCTTTGAAAATGTATGAATTGAAAACTTAAAACGATTTTCGGCAGTTCTAAAAGTATACACGTTTAATATTAAAGTTTGTAAGCGTAAATAATATAGTATACTCATATTGATATATTACGCAATAATTATTAGTGATAGATAATGGTAAAAGTAGTTTGGACTTAGGTGTATATAGTACATATTATATTACCTGTTGCTTATATGCTGCTCATTAAATACCAATTTTGATGGTTGTTTGTATACTAAAAACACGTAACGATGAAGTCCTAAAAATATTGAAATGCAAATTGTTGATAGACCTTTAAATTGTAATATATATACCTATTGTAAAAAACAGTCATTATGTACCTGTTTTTGGGGGGGTTGCAGATCCAACATATGCAGTTAATGTCTCTCCCATACTTACATCTGAACCTGGTATGTTTCCTACTAACCAATGGTGAAATTCCTTTAATTTAGGTCCTGCATCAGGATCTGAGTAGATAACAATGAAAAAATTATTGACACTTTTTATGTGTAGCTATTAGCTCGGAAATATACTCACCAGTTAAACACAATGTATAGAATGAATTAGATTCGGCATTCCATCTAACTGATGGCTCGTCTTTCACCTGAGTGGGCGTCAGTTCATTACCAAGTTCTGCTTTCATGCTACTTGGATAGTATACCTATAATTATATTTTTATATTTTCACGTTTTAGTGTTTGGATTATTTGAATATTTTATATGTGTTGTATTTATTATTACTAGTAACATTTCCTTTGGAGCAATGGGAATAATGTCTGGTACAATTAATTTGTTTTCCATAGCTTGTTTAACATTGTACTTGCACGCAGTTACGTTCAACATAACCTATAGAAAATATGAACATTAATTTTATAATAGGTATAAATTTTAAAACAATGATAGAATTAAATTTAGTCTTAAACTGTATAATAAGCATGATAAAGCCTATAAAAGAAAAATATAGGTACTCAGGACTCAGGTATTCTTATTTCTTACCAAACACAATGTTAAATACCACATCATATTTATATGCAAGACGAAGTTGAATAGTTGAACATAAGAACTAGTAGAATAACTACCTTGCGTGAAAACCACTAATAAGCTATTATGAATTTAAAACGTTCTTGTAAGTCGTTTTGATTGTTAAATAGGAAGAACGCAGGGAGAAATGAGAATAATCAAGTACCTATTTAGATTGTAAATTTACCTGCAAATATATCTGTTTTGGATTTGAATGTCCCTCAACCCTCTTCAGAAGTATAGTTAAAATATATTATCTTTGCTGTTGTCTATTACAATAGGTGTTATCTACTTACCATTATAATAAAACTTTGCTATCAGCGGAGTACATTGTAAAATTAGCATATCAAGCCATAAAGGTTCTACTCTATGTCTATGACCATGCAATTTATTTTATATTACAAACAAAAATGTCTTAAATGTAATAAGTACCCACTTAGTGGATGGATTGACAACCCGCGGCTCGAAGGCCGTATGTGGGCATGTGGCCATCATTGTAATTACTAATTTGTTGTAGCCCCCCGAGTGAAGTTTATAATTTGTATCAAAATCGACGAACTAAGATAGTATAGGCATCAAAAAGATTGTCGACTAGATCAGTATCTAGTGAGTACTGGGTAATACTTGAATAATTATCAACATTATTGGTATAGACGGGTACAGTTGAAGTCATTATAAGTCAATAGTCATAACTAGAACTAGGGCTGGGATTTATATGTAATAAAAAACCAAAAATATGTACATATATATGTAATTAAAATTGCCAAAATATGTAGTATAAAATAAAAAACATGTACCTACTARGAAAATTTTTTAAAATATGTTAAAATTATAAATTAAAATACAAAATACTCTAAATAATTTTTGAATAATAGGTACAATTTATTGTTTTTTATGTCTCATTAATTTAATTTAAAAAATATAATAATTTGTGGTAAAAAATTAAAAATTATGTTGTTAAGGGGATTGGAAGCGGTGATTTTCTGTCTTTGTCTAACACACGTGGGACATACAATACGCCTGACAAAAATTAAGGTACTTCTAGTTGTTCAATTTAAAATATGTAAAGATATGTTAATTGATATACAAGTTTACTATGCATCGGTCGAAGCACTTTTTCAATAGTAGCAATATTTTGATAAGAATAAATATTTTAAATTTTATAAATTTGTCAATTTTTTTTACTAAATATATTAAAAATATGCTTTGACTGATGCAAAGTATGTATAACAATTCAAAAATCTTTATATATTTTAAATCGAGCAACTAGAAGTACTTTAATTTTTATCAGGCGTATTGTATGTTTCACGTGTGCTAGACAAAGACAGAAAATCACCKCTTCCAATCCCCTTAAATTRAAAATTTGAAATACAATTGATGTTTAATCAATTTAAAGTGAAACAGTGACAAACTATATAACTATATAACAATATATTATATTGTTTTAAATTTTCAAAATTAAATGTATGTTAGACTCATATGAGCTATAACATAAATAT